TTCTGAGGTACGCCTTTCAATGACAGACACTGATACAGAACCTCTCGGTCTGCAGAGTCAAATGTAACTTTTAAGTCAAGAAATACCACCTCATGCATTCAGAGTAAAGAATCTTATCTCAGAGAAACTATTATGTCAGTGTCTCGTAACTTTCTTGATAGCATTCGTGCATTAACGTTTCAGGGGTGTCGTTCTGAATCACGTGAACATTGCGACTCTGACGGTAGTTCTTATGACTGAGCTAAACACTGTAGTTTGGTTTCATGTATTCACAACTATGCTAACCTATTCCACAGGCAAACATACGCCTTTTTTTTCTACTATTGATTAACAGTCCACAGTTGAGTTCTTAATCTTAAATATGTGGGTCTATTGGGTGTCTCGATTACTTATGTGATCTGAATAGTACTCTCAGTTTCTCTGTTTACTTCCGCCTAAATGGACAGTAGGGCAGTCATGTATTGGCTGGGGCGTTTGACCTTCAGTCAGTAATATAATTACTCTCATTGGACTATTAATAAGAAAACTAAAAATCGCCAATATATATCTGTCAGTGTTAGAGCTTACTCGTTTGAGCGTATTTATATCGTCAACTTCTTGAGGCACGTAGGAATGTTAAACCTGTGCCCGAACCAGGAGTTGAAGTCCACAACTTAGCTCTCAGAAGGCGATTTAGTGAAACTGATTGCTTTCATATCAATGTGTTAAGCTTTAGAACACCTATAGATATACGGTGAGGATTACATTCCAAAGTTACTTAAATCACTCGTTTAATGTATAAATGCATTCGTTAGGTGATGAAGCAGTGCTTATTTTTTATTATTATTTTAACACATAGATGTTGGTACAAGGAGGCACCAAATACATATGCGCCACACAAAACTCATTTGATATGTGTGAGAGCTGTGATACTGCCCGGGTGCCCAAACCGAAGTAGGTGGTTTTCTTAGGGGCCACTCCACGAGCCTTCGACCTGAAGGTCTGATCCACAAGGCAGTATAGCATCGTAAGAAGATGCAGTTCCATGGTAGCTGGTGACCAACGATTGGTTCATACGCCATTTGTTCCTTCAGGATACTGGAGCCAGCCCATGTGCACCATTGGTTTGGGATCCGGTTAAAGCGCTGGACATTCTCTTTTCGTCCTCTCATTTTCGTCAACAGCACCCCCGCCACGAGAAGATAGTGAGTAAGACTTCCCTGGCAGAGGGTATTTACGCGTGGCCATGTGAGAGCATTTCGAGAGGGAAAGCGGACTCTCCCCACTCTCGTACGTACGTACATCAGTTCAAGTTGCCATACCACATTAGCACAAACATGCAGTTGTCGATTGGAATCCCATAGTGGTAGAAGTAGTAAAAGTATCATCAGTAATCATAAACATCAGGGTTTGAAGATGTTATTCAAGAAGTATAATCCAGTGGAATGAATTTGGAAAGAAAATAAAGGACATGAAGAATTCAGAAGATTAGAATTTGGCAGAACACAAGGAGTGGATGCACCTGCGCAATTGAAAACGAACTTGAACCATGTCATTCAAGGTCTCTAACCACCGGTTGCTATCGTCTCTCGGATCCCAACCAAATAGTCTGCATCTACCGACATGGCTCAGTCCACTTGTCAGTGACTTGATGAATTTGTGCCATGTGTTGGTGTGGCCGCCTCTAGCTTTCTTCCAACCTACTGCTACACCATAAAACATCGCACATCGGGGCAGTTGGTGGTTGGGCATACGTAACACGTATCCCAGCCATCTCAACTGATGAAGTTTCACCACTTCGTCAGTTGAAGTAACGATGTGTATCGAGCCTAATCAGTCCTAGCAGTTTTAAAGCCTTATGCTTTACAAACTCATTTTTTGGAAAATAATTTCAGTGGGTTTTTTTCCTGTAAACGCGTGTTCACTTCATCGGTTTATTCGTTCAGTTCAACTTAAATGACTTCCGGAACCTGAGCGATGCCCATAAGCACCGCTGATCAATAATCTCACGTTATGAGTTGCTGCCTTATCTTCTGTCTACTTCTTGTTCCACTTTTCGTTTTCATGTAATATTTGCTTCTTATTCACAAAGTGAGTTACATTTTTCTCTAGCGCCCAAATGCCCTGATACGGCCCAGAGTAAGAAAAGTCCGCTTTCCCTCTCGAAATGCTCTCACATGGCTACGCGTATATACCCTCTGCCAGGGAAGTCCTACTCACTGCCTTCTCGTGGTGGGGGGTGTTGTTTGCGAAATTGAGATGACGAAAAGCGAATGTCTGGCGCTTTGACCGGGTTGGTGGACATGGAGAGTCCACCTATGGGAGTTGGAAAATCCTGATTCCAAACCAATGGTGCACATGGGCTGGCTGTAGTATCCTGAAGGAACAAATGGCGTATGAACTAATTCTTGGTCCACGGCTACCACGGGACTGCATCTTCTTACGATGCTACACTGCCTTGTGGATCAGACCTTCAGGTCGAAGGTTCGTGGAGTGGCCCCTAAGAAAACCACCTACTTCGGTTTGGGCACCCGGGCAGTATCACAGCTCTCACACATATCAAATGAGTTTTGTGTGGCGCATATGTGTTTGGTGCCTCCTTGTACCAATATCTATGTGTTACAATAAATAAATAAACAACACTTTCGGTAATATCTCTTGACGAAACCTATCTTATTCGTTTCATTAATTCATTGTGAAGCAATAACCTCGTGGCTTAGACAATCAATGTTCATGTATTTAGTTTTATTTCTAAACTACTCACCACCTACTTCGATTTGATAACCAGCTGTTATCACTAACCACCTCAAAATGGAGTAAATATCAGTCATGGTCACTGTAGGAGCTAGAACGAATGTGTATTTGTTCCAGTTCTCACCGCAGATCAGCGAAAGGCGAAGTCAACATGACAGTAAACTGAGGGGCAAATAACAATTAATCTAATGGGAGGCTAATCACGATAAGTAGTTCCCAAAGAACGAAAGCAGCAAAAGTCTGGAAAGTATAAAATGAAACTAAGTTCAAGATTTTATGAAAACTGCAGAATAAATGCGAATTCAATGTGTGAAGTCGTGTTACACGATGTCCAACCGTAGATTAAAGATATTACGCAGACTCCAACTCGGAAGTTTGGACGTATTGACTCGTTCCAGCGCGACAGTAAATAATTTCATAGATTGATGCTATGTCTGGATTTGTCCGACCCCGAACTTTCTCCGCCTTAACTGAGTGTCAGCGTGCATTGCTCATCGGGATGTCCAATGCATGTCCCGACCACAGTATCACTATTATTTGAAATATGTATATTAGCTTGCGTCCAACTCTAGCAGTACACATTCATTCGTACAACTTCAAAAACTACGTGACAATTGATTGATCATTGAGTACTGACCAGTCCCGTGTTTGTATAGTCCTTTAGTGCTTATCGAATTGTATCAATGGAGTTAAAATATTGTCACTGTTCTAACGAACTCGACATCGCATCCATTACGCTGAAATGTTATGTGTTTGGAGATGGTCGATAAGAAACCCCAAACATAGTTGTAGTTTTGAGAGAACTGATGCCTACTGATAGGTAAAAACACGCATTGCCTAGGTTCATTTTCCGAGACGTTGCTGTTGAGCTATTCGTTCTGAAATTAATCTCCTGTAGGGGACAAGACTCTAATTTAGGGACGAGCCAATCAGAAGCGTTTGAGCGATTTCAAGGTCACAGAGCCAAGTTCAACACGCGATGCGTACATACGATCGGTTCACAGCGGATTTTAGAAAGGTGATTAGTGAGAGGTTACAACAAATGGGACGGCGAGACTTTAATTTAGAGACTAGCCAATCAGAAGCGTTTGAGCAATTTCAATTATTAGCCAATCAGGAGGCAGTATAAAGCAAAATTAATTATAAGAAAGTAATCAATTACAGTGGATATTCTTCTTTTACATGATTTAAAAACTTTTTAAGGTTTGATAAAGGTTCAAAAGTTCTGAATTCATAATGCATATGGTGTAGAAACTCGTCCATAGGATGAGGGTTAGGGTTTGTAGCCTCTCAATAAACACCTCTTCTCTAAAATCCGTTGTAAACCGATCGTATGTTAGCATCCTAACCCTAACCTAACCCTATGGACGAGTTTCTATACCATATGCATTATGAATTCAGAACCTCTGAACCTTTATCAAACCTTAACAAGTTTTTAAATCATGTAAAAGAAGAATATCCACTGTAATTCATTACTTTCTTATAATATATTCTCACTTTATACTACATGTCTTCTGATTGGCTAATAATTGTCAAGGTCCCTTAAGATTCGTTCAAAGGTCGTCCCTAAAATAGAGTCTCGCCTAAAGATTTTTCTTAAAATGATAGGTCAGCTTCATTAAGTTATCTACGATCTAATAGCAGCTGTGTATCTCCTCGTTTTCTGCAAACAATTAATCGGCATACCAATTCGGTTAGTCATATTTCTGGATTTTCTATTTCATCTAGAATTCACAATTACATTTTATAGAGTTATTTTCACTAAGCGTATAAGTTGAATCATTGCAGGAGTTCTGTATACAGCTCAAGTTATTACCCAATTAGTATGGATCACATACCATTCAAATGGTTCTTGTGTTACTGTCTGACAATAAAAGACATCTGGAGTGTTTTACTATCAGCAAACCATAACCTCAATCGTTTTTGGTAAATTTTGGATTCGTTTTACTTCCGTACTTTGAGATATAACCACCTAGATTGTACATAGACTTGTATCTTTTTCGAATTGATGACTGTCTTGTCTCACTTGTAAAATTTTATTTGGTTGCAGAATAAATTTCAATTGCCAGTTACTTTTTCTAAGTCTTTTCAATTAGTCGTATAAATAAAACAATATCATACATCTTTTAAAATGCACCTGCCTCATTGGCTGCATTAAACTTGTCGAAAAAGTTCAAACGGAAGTCAGTTGTTGCGAAACTTAACATTAAATTTATTTTATTTTGCTAAATTTCATATGAACAAAGTGCTTTCACTCTTTTTGTCAGGTCTCCAACCACATTCTCGCAGTAAAGGACCCATACCAAATATTTATCCCATTAACACTGATGAACCTATGGATTTTGTGGACAACGATTCGGATGATGACATTGTGCTGCCAGAAATGGCACATTGTGCAGGTCCTGCTTGCATGCTGGCGGCTATTCCTGGTGAGAAATACTGTTCAGAATCCTGCAAGCTGAAACATACCAAGTACGTCCACTGTTTTTCAACTTCCCAACAATACCATAAATCAGGTCGATTACGGAGATTTTTTAAATTTAAAGAAATGTTTCTTTGGAATACTGACGTCAGCTGAAGAAGCACTAAAAATAGAGAGTCGGTACACAACCTTTGTGTCCTGATCTCAGACTCAGAATTTCTCACCCACGACTCGACCCAGAATAAAACTCAAGACCTTAAGGTATCAACACGGACACAACGCTATTCTTAGTTTTTTTTCCGTCGAAACACATGGTTCTGCTTGAAATTCGGTCATTGCATGAAGTGGAACAATCGATGATGGTTAAATACCTCACCTGTTGATTGAGGCTTTTGGTTACAGCTTTTCGTCATAACTTCTGGAAATGTATTAAGCAGCACACTTACTATTTAGTTAGGTGGTTTGTAGAAGTCCACTCAATTCGAAATTGTCTTTTGCACAGACGTTAGATCTTGATACACTAGGTTCAATTTCTTGTACTGTCGTGGATACTCACTACTCTGAATTTCCGGACCCGGACGAAAAATCTACTCGATTCTCTCGTTTTCAGGTCCCATGTTGTAAGCCACCCCAGTAATCATATTTTTGTTCTTTGCATTCCTGTTTAAACGTTGAATTTTGCTTATCGACTATCATCGTCGTTATGAAACCATAAAGGCCCTTTATTTTTGATCATTTGATTGATTGAACTGTATAGATTCTAAAGTTTTATAAGCCCTATCTGATGGGTAGAGTATGTATTTATTTCGTTTGACTTTCTCAACACATAAAGGCTCTCTTGCGAATACCAGTTTGCCGCGATTGTGTATCGTCAGTGTATTATTGTCATTATATATAAGGTAGTCGGGTTCTGTACATCCTCATCGTATTAGTCTTATTGTTATTACCCAACCGTCAAATTCCAGCACAAATCATAACAGATTCTTCAACTGATAACAGTTCTTAGCGAAAACTTTTTAAACATAATAATCTACTACTCGCAAGTAATATTATTGTGTAAGTCAATTTTAATCAGACAGGCAATGTGGAACCTATGTCATCTCGAGTTGTGTATGTCCATATCGGCACAACAGAAGGATTTATTTATTTAAACATAAACATCGGTCGTTCCTCTCACTTATATGAATGAAGTAGTCGATAATTACAGCAGGACAACCACTGGCTTCTGCTTTGAGCAGTCTTTTAACATCTCAAGCCACTGTATTGCATTATCTTTAGGACCCCAACCAGGGAACTGTGAAGAACCAACAAATCCTAGTCTTTCATAGCTATTTTTCATAGGACTACATCATGTCATACACTGACCACGGGGAGCCGAAGAGATACACTCTCCATTTAGACATAGCACTAAGTACGAGGACAGAATAAGCACTTTTAGAATGGATCCCTGTTAACAGTCTCTTATGTACTGTTCGACTAAACGGTCCCGTAAGAACTCGGAAGGATAGGGACACACGTCGTTGCCTTTTCGTAGTTCCTGCCTACGCTCCCACTGATTGTAGCCCGAATGAAGTGAAAGATTAATCTTACAGGAATCTTTCTGAACTTCTTCAGAAAGCTAAACGTTCAGTCATAGTACTAGTCGCAGGTGACTTTAATGCCCAAGTAGGTGGCTTAAAATAAGCAGAAAGACATTTGGATGGGTATTTTAGTATTCCGGTTCAGCGAACAGATAATGGTGACCGTCTGTTGCAACTTCTGGATACAGTGATAATAAGACCAACAGTGGCGTAAAACTGGCAGAAAAAATGGGTGTAAAATGTAGAATATTCTTAATTTGAAGAAGAGAACACGTGTATCTGGACCGCTGCGACATTATGAATATCTCCCCATTAATTTCTTTCGGGTGATAATTCTATTACCTAGGAATTTCCATTGATATTCGCCGTTAAAAAATTCAGTATTAAACGTTGATTTCATAGACACGGTAATAATAGGATTTGTTGTCCATTCTTACTAGTTCAATTTTTGTAGTCCTTGTCCTTCTAAACTTTTATTCCCACCGTTCGTAGCCTGTGTATGAGCATCATTGATGACTTTAGTATTAAGCAGTTTTTGAATTTGCCTTCCCCATTCTGTAAGCCAATGGTTGCTATTATTGAATTCGACATAGTAGGTAATGCTCCTACATGAATATGCAATCGGTCGCTTAGTTTTATTATTTCCATTATCGTTATTATAAATCCCAAACTTAGTGGTGGAATTTCAAACCACTGTCACACTCTGGTCAATCGTGCAGTTATAATACTTATCACTAATAAAGTTCGTTGATGTTTAATGATTTAAGGCAATAAAGGACTGTGGATCCGGGTTTTAAAATATAGTATCCAATTACTTCGATAACTCATAATTTCATCAAGTTATCAGTCCGTTTTACAACACTTCATTAGGACAGATTTTTGTAATCTGAAGTTATGCAAATCTAATTCTTATTGTACATTGAATTGACCTTATCATTTCCGTTTGAACTCAAAATGTTGGCTATTTAGTGGTAAAAGGCCAAACTTTATAACAACCAAAATGCACGCATTTGATTGTTCTGTTCACTTTATATTTCATGTTTACAACCTCCAGTTCCCGCTGCTCTGTTCGTTCAGCTGTTCCTAATCTCCGTCCTTCAATAACTGCTATTTCACCCCGTGAAGCTAATCCTATTCCGTAAGTGTATATCTGTGAAATATTTATTGTTGTTTGTATTCTCATCGAATTCGAGCTATAGAACCTGTTATAATTTCTCAGATATTTCTATTGCTTAGTATTCTTGGACGCCAATTCACTCGATAAGTCTCCAAATTAGAACAATATTAAACAGGAACTAAATTATTCCAAATAGCCAAGGCGAATGTAAATAGGAATTACAATAAGAATAACGTTATTTATATATTTTATATGAGAAGATTCTAGAGTCTTCCGCAATTGTCCACTAGCATTGATTGGATAAGCAATAGCCAATCAACGTGCCACTATGTAATCTTGCACGGAACATGCTTAAATCCAATCTATATCCTGCTAACACAACCTGCGGTCCTTTGTTCATGTCATGACCATTGACTCCATTGATCAAAAGTATGTAACCGCTCTGAAGTTATTTCATCTTTATATTCCAACCACTACTAGACTATAATTATCCATGTTTGAAGTTGCCCTAATCACTTCAGAAATGTGTTTTTTTAGAAACCCCATATAAGCCGTGTGCAGTATCTCTTTTGTCAGCTGTCGCAGTTATCTGACTACACTATCCTTAGTCTTTTTGGTCAAGTGTTAACTCCACAACTCACCAGTTAGAAACTAAACACAGATGATTCATAGTTCCGTTTCTAATCGCCTTAACTGTCCCGTGAACTAGCACCCATCTTATTTAAGGAACTTCATGTTTACCCGCAGATTGTAAAAGGCACACAAAGATCTAAGGCTATGTAGATAGTTATTATTTAACGTTAGATGAGAGAAATTTTGGTTTTACATTTTCATCTCGATAACTAGGCAGGATATTGTTCGGGTGTGCGTTTGGAAGCTGACTTTTAGTACCCTCAACATTCATTGTAGCGTTTTATAAAAAGAGCTCTTTATTTTTTCCTAGCTTTTATTAAGGTGTATGTGATGTGAATGAATGAGTTAGTCAGAATGTTTTTCATTATGATTCCATATCATTTTACGCGTCTCTGGAAATGCTGGTTATCCATGGGAACTCGTTATTCTCGTTATACTTCAGCGTTACTACTATGCTATTTATGGGTTGAGAAACGAGTTTAAATCTCATAGAGACGTCAGTTCTCTCAAGATTACAGGTACACCAAACCAACTGGTAGTAACTAGCACCGAAAGTGGATCCAGATATTCTTCCTGATTGCTTCCAAACACCTAATACCAAAACATATTGTACATGATATTGAATCACTTATACTAGTGTCCACATTGAAACTTACCTAACAGAATTCAATTAACATTAAGAATTAAATAAACATAACATTGATTACTGCTCGATGTGCAATTAACATTAGTATGTCAGCATTACGAGTTTTAGGGTTTCCTATTGATCGCTTCCAGCCACCTAAGCTAGTAGTTTGTAAAGTTTCTTGTTTCGAAACCGAAAGTTATAGTCATCAACTTGTTTCATTTTTGACTTTGAAGTTGCTTCCATCGATCTCTCACTTATGCTAACATTAAACATTAGGTTGTACTGGCGCGACATATAGGTACAGATATTCACCTAATATATTGGTCACTGTAGACTCATTACTTCATTATCTTATTCGCTTACTGTTCTTTCAGTAGTCTCTTAACAGTATAACAAGTACCTCCTATATAATTTATTTGTTAGCAACTTCGTTTTATTCTAATTAACGAAATCTCATTTGATGCCTTGCTTCAGATATAAAAGATCAATCTCAAATGTGATGTATTATTCTGTCTATCAGTCTCGTGTTTCTTTTAGTACATTGTGTGTTCTATATCTAAACCTCTTCTATACAAACGTTTAATCGAATGACCTTTCTTTACTACTATCTTATATACAAAATCATATGATATCAATGTGTTTTTCCGTATTTAGATACTCTTTACCATATCCAGATCACATGTATTGTCGCCATCATCGTGTTCAGAATTGGAACAATACTGCATCTCCATCCTACAGAACTACAAATCAACCTTTCGATCAGTTCTCTATTGATCAAGCTTACATTACTACTGATGGCTTACTTCAGTCACGTGGACATCCAACATTTGGATGTTCTCCTGGACCAGTCCATAGAATTACACCACAGCGACATTCAAATCCTCATCCTGTTTTGATCAATACTAGTAGTCGATTGAATAGCGTGGACAGTCAAGGTAATACAATGATTTGTGACGTTGCTGATACCGCTGCATTTATGGACTCTGTGGCTTCAGCAGTACGTAGAAGCAATAATCATGGGACAATAAATGCATTTGCTGAAGAGCTTGGTATAGATTTACAATCAGCTCATCCTTCAACCGGAACTCGTTTATCGTCTTCACCTAGTTTATCTGGAATTTATTCTTGTTATACTGGATCGAATCGTAGCGATAATATTCGACCCGTCGATTTACATGCTGTAGATGATGATACTGAACTACCACCAGGAGTAGATGATGATGAAGCTGATGTCAATCAAATAGTTTCCGAAGTGGGCGGACATCCTGTTTACGGCTACTATATGATTAGTTACGGCAATGAAACCAATGGTCATAATTCACGTATTTCCTTGACTAATACTTCTAACCCTACACTAAATGAACATCGTATAAGTACAGGCTCTTTACGTACCAGAACAAATATCCGCCACCTTAATCATAGGATGATAAATCAAAGTAACGGTGAGTCAGCAAATGGTATCCCTGGACCCTACAGTTCTAGTCGAACGTTGCCAGCCGGGAATGTAAATTTTCGGCATACAAGCTTAAATGTTATCCCAGGAACAGTCAGTCAGGATAATTGTTTAAGTCCATCCGGATCTACCGGTGTGAGTGACATAGGTGTTTCTAATATGGGATCATCAGTATCCAGTTCCAATGTAGCGCCTCATTCTGTTCCTGGCTATATACCTGGTCCCGATGAATTCTATACAATCAATGATTCAGATGACCTAGAAATCAATTGGCCACAAGAAACAGTCGCCGGAGTAAATGGTTAACTTTTAATTGTATTATATCCTTCGATATGTTCATTACTTAATATGGAATTATTGCTTGATTAGTGAGCAACCTCAGCTAGGAGCTGTTTTGCGCATGTATTTTTCCTCTTGCGTATTTTTTTTAAAATAAAAGACCTATTCTGTAACAGATAAATATGTGTAGCATTACAGAAACCTAAGACTTTTAACCTCTGTTTACCCCCACTTATTTTACTCCATCATTACGTTGCAGTATGTTGAGTTGTCAGGTCTCAAAATTCTCCTGTATCTATATTGCTTATCAGATTTGTTTTGTGGCTATGGTTTAGTCCCCCCTTTTTTTGCTTAGATATCAAATTGATAATTTTGCCTTGTATACATATTCATTATACATCTATATATGTCATGTTCTTTACTAATGGCGCCAAAAAAAAAACGGTTCATTCAGAACGATCTTGTACATATAAATAGCTCGTCTTTTACTTTTTTTTTTTAATAAAAAAGGTATATATATATTTGTGTTTATCTACGCATATTTACGTACACATTGTTCATGTTTTGCACAGTGGTATATTCAAAACACCATTTTGCACAATACTATTATAACCTCAATATGTGTCTTTTTATTTCCCACCTAACCAGAACTATCTATCTGTTATTATTATTATTATTATTTACTGGTCTGGTCTTAGTGTGTCTTGAATTTGATTTTTTCTTAATATACCATCCCAAATTGATGAAGATTATTAGTTCATCTTATTATTTTTATTATTATTACTATTACTTCCTTATGAGGAAATAGTATTCTGCTGATTGTTACATATATATATATGTATGGAAATAATACATTTGCCAGTACTAAATTCTTTATTCTCTTAATTCTTTCATTGTTTCTTCATTTCACATATTCAACATAATCTCTATCACTATTACTGATTACGGTTATTGTTATTAATCACATAATCATAGTATTAATAGTAGTAATGGTAATAGTAGTAATAGTATTCGCAATAATTGTAATTAATCTTTTCCTCTTCTTTCTTCTTCTTTCTTCTTCTTCACTTACCTCATTTCACCCCCCCCCTTACTAAATTCAATCTTTGTAAATAATTTATATCCATTAATAATATTCTTATATGTGTATGTATACACGTTCAATGATATAAGAAACATCAAATTTTAGAAGGGGTGTCTCTTTTTTGTTGTTGTTCTGTTTTGTTTTCTAATAATAACAATAATAATAATAATCATTTCATTGTGTACATAACAAATAAGAGAGTAATAATTAAAATGATCAAACTTTAAAATAGTATTATTATTATTATTGTTCCTTTGATTCTCTAACTCATCTACATACATAATTGCATAGTAACTATGAGTAATAATAGAAATGTTATCAATGGTGAATAATATTGAAGGTTGCTCACACTATCTGTACAAATGGTCGAATTCTCCATCTGTAAATATATATATATATATATTTTAAGACAAAATATTCACGTTTATTACGTCTTATATATTGTATCATTCAATAGATAGATTATTAAGGTATGAAATTGGAATAGAATTTATTTCTAGAGTTTTCCATTTTATTATATGCATAAAGTGAGATAGAAGCAGTTTACTATATTAATACTTTTTGATTATCACTCAGGAATAATAGGAATTAAAGAGGAAGATTGATTATGAATACAGTGGTCTTGAGTGCTGTTAGAAGAATGAGGGCAGTTATCACTTCCCAGTTACCTACATTGTGGAAAGGTCCTTTTTTTATTTATTGTGACACATAGATATTGGTACAAGGAGGCACCAAATACATATGCGCCACACAAATCTCATTTGATATGTGTGATACTGCCCGGGTGCCCAAACCGAAGTAGGTGGTTTTCTTAGGGGCCACTCCACGAACCTTCGACCTGAAGGTCTGATCCACAAGGCAGTGTAGCATCGTAAGAAGATGCAGTCCCGTGGTAGCCGTGGACCAAGAATTAGTTCATACGCCATTTGTTTCTTCAGGATACTGGAGCCAGCCCATGTGCAGCATTGGTTTGGAATCAGGGTTTTCCAACTCCCCTAGGTGGACTCTCCATGTCCACCAACCCGGTCAAAGCGCCAGACATTCGCTTTTCGTCATCTCAATTTCGCAAACAACACCCCCACCACGAGAAGGTAGTGAGTAGGACTTCCCTGGCAGAGGGTATATACGCGTAGCCATGTGAGAGCATTTCGAGAGGGAGAGCGAACTTTTCTTACTCTCGGCCGTATCAGGGCGTTTGGGGGTTCTGGAGGTGTCTGAAAAGAAAATTGGATTAGAGATGGTCTTAGTGACCTGAGAATGTAACCCCATGCCAAAGGGACAACTACTTGAGGTCGGTCACACACGAACTTTATGTGTCAGCTCCGTACTTGTTGAGACCTTATTTCAGAAGACGGAGTTCCGTGGGATAAGGTGGAATGTGCATTTTTAAGGTCGACCATTCCCAACCCCACCCCTCTTTGTGTGAAGGCAGCATCGCTGTGATACTGGTTGTCTGGGGGTAACACCTTACTCCCATCACACCTCTGTGCAGTCAGCAGTACGACTTCTTTTTCGGACCTTGGGGTTGTTGCTTTTAGTCTTACAGCTCTTCAACTGACATGGTAGGACCTTGATCAACGATTGTTCCAACCATTATAACCACGACTGGCATGCCTGACCACCATGTCAAGGTGGTAACAACGATCGGGGTTCTTAGTTATATTACAATACTAACAATGTATGATGGAAAGGGTAGAAATCAACAGTAGTAAAAGATAGGAATCCAAGTTGTGATAAAATCAGTTGAGAAGCAGAAGCAATAGGTTAGTAAAACAATTGAAGGACTTGAAATTTAATGTATCCTTGTTATCTAACTGAAATCATAGTCTCAAACAGGACTTTTGAAAACAGCAGCTATGTCAGTTTGATCATTCTTTTTCGAGATGTACATGCACAAAAAGATGGCTATAGGGATCATTAAATCGTCCCAGCCCCTTTAACTTGAAAAAAATGGATAACCTACACTTCTCTACGTTTAACGCCAGCTTTGCCTACTCGGCGATCCTATTATATATGGATCATATTTTGTAGACTTGCGGCTTGTACATACACTACACCTGGGATATGTTTTGCACATCCATAAATTAATGTATCAAACTGTTGCACATTTTATAGGTAGATGAGTATATCTTTTACGGTATAAGTAACTCAGATTTATAAAATTTAGCTGGACTTTTTGTATACACTACAATGTTTTGTCAATCACTAGCAAAAGATCAATCCATCGTCTCAAACTTGACTGTCCCTTCTGCAAATATCAGTCCATTGTCTCAGATTTCATTGTTCATACCAATTGCTCTCCGTTCCTGTTCTTACCCTCTCGATCTTTCACTGAAATTCATTCTGTCTGACCATTGTTATATACTACTTATGTGGATATAAGTAGCTAACATCACAATATCAATATTTGTCGTTTATCCCGATCAATTAGAGTGAATTAACAAGTGATATTGTGACGTGAGCTTTTTATATCCACATAAGTAGTATATAACAATGGTCAGACATAGAATGTATTTCAGTGGAAGATCGAGAGGGTAAGAACAGGAACGGAGAGCAATTGGTATGAACAATGAAATCTGAGACAATGGACTGATATTTGCAGAAGGGACAGTCAAGTTTGAGACAATGGATTGATCTTTTGCAAATTAAGTATTTACTATATGGTTCTCAGATTTTAGTGAGATATTCTGTAATTCTGTGTTCGAATACATTCGGTTGTCCCCACTCGTGTTCTTGTTCGCTACAATATTTAAGCTGAACACCCGCCACCTGAAAGTTAGTTCGATCTCGAACCACTAGCTTTTTTCTTGTTATCGATCCATCACAAAAAATTGGGCTTATGGCAATTTCGGGAGTATGGCCATAAATCTTGAGTAAAGTAATGGTTGGTTTATGTGTTATCCAAATATATGCTCCGGTGAATATTTTTCTTCCGAATACACAAAAATACTGAAAAACAGTCTATCTTTGGCCATAGCTTGAATCTAAACCAATGATGGCATGACTATTAGAATTCATTGTTACTGAAAGGGTAATTACTGCAGAAATGATTAACTTTTCATATCTGTCTTCAGACAATGATAACCGACCACACCATTTTTAAAATTATTGGGCAACAGGTTTGATGAGAACAAAAAGGTGGAATGTGTGAAAAATGGATCATCACTACAGGATCAGGTGTGAATAATAAACTGGAACTATGGTTGTTTTCATGTCAAACATGTCACCTATAGCATTGTGAAGACTGTACAAGGACGTATCACAGAAATTCATCTTTACGCAAGTTAGATCCTACATATATAATTGATATGAACTATATGCTTAAATCCAGCATTTATAGCTAGCTTTTATAGTATTTCTAACCACTTAAAGTTAACCAGAAAAAGAAGTTAGTATCCAAATTTTACAATTTTCCTTGTTAATTCTATCGAAGCGTCCAAGTAACCCCGATTGAGATACGCGCAAAATCGAAGTTCCAAAACAACGATTTGTCTACAAAAGCGGTTCTTTATTAAATAATACACAAAATTTAGTTATAAACCTCAACTTGTGAGGTGTCTAGGCTTTTAAACGCGTCCTTCAAGAATGAAAATAACAAAGGCTTCGATAGTTGTGTCTAAATTTGATAACAGTTTATGAGCAACCGAAACTCGAGCCAAGAGCAAACAATGTGGGAACTGTTGCGTTTAAACAAGTGCACAACTGTGGATAACCGTTACAGTAATTAAAGTACAGTGATTATAATGGTAAATACAATGAACGTTAAAGATATATGTGAACATTTCAGAATGTCACAGTACAACTCGAGTTACAACATAAGTGTGAAAGTTGTTCGGAATACAACTGCTTACTGAATGTAAATAAGTAGTATAGGACAACATACAAAAGAGTATAAAAGGAACAATGTAAGACAAACTTAACATTCCACTCCCACTCAACTTAAGATCTATCAAGATCCAGTGCCATTATGTGGTAACTTCCTCACTCCGGTCTGTTATTCCTGAAGCTGGACATCTACTGAATCTTTCATCCGGTTCAGTAACACTCTGTTGAAAACGTTTCCTAGTATCGATAGTACTGTGACTCCTCTGCAGTCTTCACATTTGCTAAAATCTCCTTTCTTTGGTATCTTGATGAGGTATCCTTCTTAACAGTTTGTCGGTCGCACTTGTCCTTCCTCTCAAATCTTCTTTAATGATCAGATCGTTTCCTGAGCACTTCGCTATGCTTGATTGCAGCCTTTCATAGAACTGATTTTTGTTGCCGTCTTTGCTATCATTAATGGTTGCATAATAATGAATAACATACATCGTGGTTTCCTCCTGTTAGGTCCCGATAAACGTAATGAATGGTAACTTTGGGATCCTTATATGAACCAATACTAAACGTATAATTTTATCGTATAATTGTTAAATAACCAAACTATTCATATTCATATTCCTCTTATTATAAACTTTATTCTGACCTATGAACCATTATTTTACGTTTTACCATTCTTGAATTATGCCCTGTCTGTTATTAGTCACTGCCTCCCACATTCACAGCCGCATTTGGCCAAATTTTGTACAAATGTTATTTTCTATCTTGATGGTACGATATGGTCTGCTTGATTAGTATATAAACTCAGTATGTTTGAAATATAAGGATTCCTATTGCAGAGGCTGAGACTGGTGTTATGGACTTAACTGGCTGGGCTAGACGGAAAGCAGGACCAATCAGGACTCTAGGCTGCTCGCACGTGTTTTACGCGTCCTTGGTCCGGTCGATAATTCGCTGCTTCTGATTGGCGGCTTTGGGCTATAACACCTCCTTCTTTGTTTCGATGGATGCTTTGATGATTCGGGATCCGTGGGATTCCCATCATACATGTGCTGTATGTGCTTCTTTGGACAGCACCAGAACAGCTCCTTGAGTGTTGGTAGCATTTTTCTCTTCGTTAACAGAGCTCAGAAGCATGTGTCCCTTATCTAGCCTTTTCTGTCCAGCTTGAATCCAATGGGTTTCACTTATTCTGCAAACCGCTATGTTGTTTCTTCTCATTTCCTCAGCTATTTGACTAATTCTCCTGGTCTCCCATACTGTCCGAACATTCCATCTACCTATATTAATTGTTGCTCTGGTTGTTAGAAGAGGCATCGGCCTCATGACTACCGAAGAATCTCGGCTCTCATCATGGGGCGTCATAGTTGTTCGTTCAACTCCGGGGAAAGAGTTTAAGTGTTTTAATTTGTTTAGTCTGGTTAGTGTTTTTTTAGTAAGGTAGTTTTCTACGGGATGGGTTTGCTGACCTCATGCTTAACCCTTCTACTTTACCCGGACTTGGGACGAGCAGTAATTCTCGAAGAGCTACAGGCGGAGTTGGTCCGTTAAGTGCTTGAAATTAATAAAAACGTCGCGGGACTATAAATTATGGATTTTGGCGCAAAATTAACTCATCCATTTGGCTAAATAGTGTTTTGGCATTATAG